GTTTTTAGGTTTAATAAACAGCTGTTAAGCTGTTGAAATTATAAAACTGATAAGAATTTTGGTCCTTTACAAAACACTATACTAGACTTCCCTGATATAAATAATAATAATAAAATCTATATTTGTTTATACACTTTACAGAAACTATTACCTTTCTATAGGTATCTTTATAGTCGCCAACCGATTTCTTTAAATTCCTTTCCTCTTTAGTTAAGAAAAACTTTAGCAGTCCTTGGATTATCACACGTAGACCAGTCCCTGGCCTTGGGGATGAGTCCCATGGATGCCTGGCACCCTCTTGGCCAGCTTTTTTTTTTCTTCCAGATGAAATACACCTCAGGCACACCTCCAGACGGAAAGTGCTGGCCTTTTCCAACCGAACAGCTGGGGCGACGTGTCTCGCATAATTTGCAGGCAAAGTGCACAACAATAGCTGCGCCCTCTGTCGCCTGGCATTAGCATTGCAAAAGGGGGCGGAGGGGGAGAGTATTAAGTTGTGACGCGTGAAATATTAGAAATTAAAAAACACATGACAAGCAATGTTGGCACTTTGATTTGTCTGCCAGCCGCAGACAATGCAAAAAAAAAAAAACCAGCAACAACGGCGAACAATCCAATCCAACAGAAACCCCCAACCTGCACTTTTAATAATCATTTCGCAGGCGGAACAAGTAATTTCCAGGGGCGCAGTATAATGGTATTTAGAGGGGATGGAGAACTGTCTGCAGGCGCGGCCAATAAATTAGGAAACACCTGTTTTTAGCCGGCCAAGAGGCAACGACGTGGCGACAGATGTCTGCCAAGGGGACGGGGTGAATTGAAACTGTTTTCCTGGCCGTAATGAAAATATTATTCCGACTACATAATTTGTGGGGTTCCCCTGAACACGACGCACACACCCTGCCGCCTTTAACCCCACCGTGGTCTTTGGGGTTTGCCTGTAATTTATGTTACTTTTTTTTCTGCTGCTACTTGGCCGCATTTCGCGGTTTTTTATTGCTACGTGCGGAGAGTGAGAGCAGGGGGGAGCAGGCCAGAGCAAAGGATATAGTACATCACATGGAGAAAAATAGCATGACCTCATTAAATCTATATATGATATCATCTAAGAGCAAGATTGGCTGGAAAATTTATAGGAATTTCATAGAAACTGATTTGTAATTGAATGAAAAGGTGACCAATAATATGCTGCGAGTTATTTGAGGCTTGTAAGGTGTAATATCTTATATCCTTTTGGGTTCCTTTTGAATGAATTCCTAATCCTTAGTTAATTTTTAATTAAGTCTTAAACTCCCTCTGAGCTCCTAACTATTTAAAGCTAATCTGGAAGTAGAGTTCATTTCTTTATTATGTTCAAAAAGGTTTTAATTCGATTCTGAATTGATTCTATTGGACTATTTTAATTGGAATATATCTCTGAAGTCATGATTACCACCATTTCTCCCAGTGCATAAAAAGAGAGGTATATAACAAACGGCCCAAAAAGGATGGGAAACAGGAGCAGACCACGCCATAATGTCGTCATGACAGACGCGGCCATAAAAGATAATTATGATTCCGGTAATAGGTTTTATTTTTCGCATGTACCTCTTTTGTTCATGGGCACAGCTCCCAGATCCCCATTCCCCATTCCCTGTGCCCTGTTCCCCATTTCTCCTGCCCTTTCGAAAACCCATTGCCAAATACCGAGGCTGTTGTTGTTGTTATTGTTTTTGTTGTTGTGTTAGTGGTTGCTGTTGGCGGAGGTCCTGGCACAAAGGTCGACCTCGGTGGCTGTCGTCTCCATTCCGTCCCACTTTTGCTGTGTCTACATTTACTTTTCGGGTGACCAACGTGGCATAGAAATTATGCGCATTATACGCGTCGCGCTCCAGCGCCTCGCTAAAAAATTATATCCGCGGAATTATGCGAAACCCGGTGGAAAATGGGAAAGGACACTAGTCCTAGTGGGAGATCCGGGGAGATATGGAATTATTTGTAACACAATCTTTTGGGTTAAACAACATTTATTAGGGGAAAAGGATGTTACGTTTCGGTAATTGGTGGTAGCAAAAAATTCATATGAAATATCTCTACTTTGAAGTAAAGGCGTCATGAAATGATTATAAACTCATTTGTGGATGTGGATATTCTTAATTTAAAGTTACTTATGGTTTTGTTTCAAGATAATATCATTTAATCTTAAAGCAAGTTGAAATATTTCAATTCTATATCATTTTTGACTATATAAAACTAATTTAGAAATTTATACTAATTAATTACTTATTTTAAAACAAGTAATACTGAGTCAACTTGAGCTCCCTTATCCCTATAAAAAAATATTTAGCATATTGTTTCCCGTTTTTGACAAATGGCAAACGATGAGCTTAAAGATCCGTGATACATTTTCAATTAGCAACCCATCAAGGGGTAGCAATTTTCACACTAAGAATGGAATCAATGCCGTGTTTGCTATTCTAATGAACTTGTCACGCTTATGAAGATTAATGCCACCTTGGCACAGCTCCCATTTGGCGGATTCGCAGTTTGAAGCTCCAAACTCTGAGCTCTCAGCGAGCAGCAGTTTCTCAATCAAACTCGCTAACAAAGAGTAATTGTCCCAACATGATAATTGCTTTAATGACGAATGCAAAACGAGTCGCGGGGGAGACCGCCTTACTTCCGAATTTGATTAATGTGCTACTGGCCTGGCAATTGACCCAGTTTCAATTAGCGGCGCAAGTGACAGGTCTCGAGTTATCCTGGCTCACACCAGGACATCCGCTCGCCCATGCTGTGAGCTCAAACAAGGAACTGAAATGAACTGGTTGAGAGCTAAAGGAAAGAAATAGGGAAATGACAGTCCTGTTGATGTCTAATGGAAAACGTGTGCGGGCATAAAAATGGCCGCTAAGAAAATGCATAAAAATGTGTGAGCACACATGTGTGTGTGTAGAAGGACATGCAAGGACAAACGGAAGTCACACACACACAGATGCTTGCTTATCGGGGCAAAGTAACTTTTCCACAGCAAATGCCAAAGTCCATAAAATATTTTTATACACACTCACACACCACACATACCAGATCGGAGAGATACTCCAGCATACTCTTCTAACTGGAGCAGGAGCCGAGTTTTGAATGGGGTAGGGGCATACCTACACGTATAAAGGAGCTGGGCAGCAGGATATCACTGAGGATATCTAAGGACTGTGGCGAAATTGTTTACACAAGTCATAAGCATTTTTTAGCGAGCCATCGCCTTGGACCTCCACGTTCTCTGTCTGTTTGCCAGTGTATAAAAGCCCCGCGCACATTTGCATAAACCTTTACCGAGCTCAAGCTCCATCTCCTTCTCCCTGTTTGCTCAGCCCATTATGCCGGGGCTTCCCCGTTGCCATCAACCACTGAGGAGGAGGAGGGAAAACTTTTGACAACTGCAATAATCATAACTGCAACCGCTCGACATTGATTTCGAATGGCAAAAGATTGGCGAGCTGCGGTGGCGGCGGTAGCATCATCCTCGACCGACCATTGGGCGCCATTAATGGGCCATTGTTTCACAAGTCGTTCCGAGTGCCGAATTCCAAATCCAAGTGTTCAAATTTCCGCTTGATTTGAGCTTAGTGGCCAGCCCCATAAAGCATTGCGAAAACTTTCCTCAAAACTTTTTCGGCATTCCGAATTTTATGCCCGCAACGGATTTCAGTGGGTCAGGCGGACGGAGATACCAATTGAAATTGATATCCAGCAAGGAAGGTGCCTCCTCAGGGCTTGAACACCCCTCCCGAAAATGCATTAAATTCTGTGTGTTTAGGTGTTCTGATTAGTTAAGCCAAATGAGGGATGATCTAGGGGTTTTTCTACACGGTATTCGTGGGGTATATTGTGTCAGAGAGCCATATAAAAATTCTAGACTTTGCACTACTTATATATTTGTGTTAATAAACAAAGAAATATATACTGTAGATGTAATCGATCATCATAGTTATATTAGTTTATCATTGGAAAACCCAAGGTATCGGGGTATCAACTTCACGTGCAAGGAGCTACTGTCTGTCACTGACTAAAAGTAAATAGATTTTGTGGTCCTGACATTTTAGGTTAAACGATATTTTGTACCGTGACATGTTTGCCTGTCGCCAGAGTCGCTGATTTTGATCCATGCGCCGATGATTGATGACACTTAATTGATGAACAACCCCGTGCCTTCCTTTGATTTCTCTCCGGTACGTACGTAGAAGGACCTCCTCAAATGCCTTGGGCAAATATTTGCTTTGTCTGGCTTAAAGTGCTACCGCCAAGTCCAGGGCAGCTTAAAGGGAGACGGGGTCAACAGATGTTGAACCCGGAACTGTCTACCATTCACGGATTCACATTCGCAAATCGGTTAGAGGACCTAAACTGGCTATCCTCCTCCTGACTGGACATTTTCCAGGTCACAGGTGCTTTTGTTGTCCGCATTAGATTTGCCTTCCACAAATCTCCCGGTTCTGCCAGCCTGTCCGCCTGCATTTGGTCTTTTTGTTGGGCTGTGTCCATTTGGCTGTAAAATTTATTTCATTTGTCCAACAAACCCAAACCCCAGACCCCGAACCCCGATCCCGACCCCGCATAGGCATGACGCTGACAGTTTTATGGCAAAGTTAAGCCGATATCAACGGCAGGACATGCGAGTGTGACCGACCCCAGCTACAGGATGCTCCATAAAAGTGTAAAATTTAAAGCTCTTCCGCCTTTCTACCTTGGCTACACAACAAGTGGGCTTCGTCGAACAAAGCGGCATTTAGGTTTTCCACAAAAACCCCTTTTCGCAGGATTCACAGGATTCACTCATGGCTGAAGCAGATAGCCTCGCATCAACAATTGTGCACCAATGCGGGAAATACGCAATTGTTATAAATAATTTTTAATTTGTTGTATTTTTAAAACTTTAATGAGGAAATTAAGAGTTATTATTTGTTAGTATTTGTAAGTTTCTACATGATTCTGCCATCGTTTTGTAGCATATAATCTTTTAGTTCTTTGTCAGTTTTAGTGTCAGATTGTGCTCTAGTAATCAGTTTTATTTTTGTTGATGTTCGATTTCTTCTACAAATTTAAAAATGGCATCCAGAAGAACCTTTATTGGCGTATGGACGGCTCCTCGTGAAGATTCCACCACCTTGGATGTTTTTGATGATTATAGACCCGGATCGGTGCGTCCGGTGCTCTTTGTCCTCTACACTTTGGAATCGGTATTCAATATATTTTGCTTGCGGATTCACATCTCCGGCTTCCAGGCCCTGCGGGCGAACTTGTTCGGACGGGTGGAGCAGCTGGTTCACTACTCCTATCTTTTCATCTTTTATGTGTTTATGGTGATCACCCTATTCCAGAGCGTCAATCTCTGTACGGGCCATAACCCAACAATAACCGTGGAGTTGATTAAGACCAGCTCCGCGACCATTGCCTTCTTTTTTGTATCCTTGGCCACGATGTGGGATGCCGAGCGGCAGTTCTATAAGTTGGTCATCGAGCCGGAATTAGAGTCTAATCCGGGAAAGTTCATCAACTATGGGCCAGTGTATCCGTTCTTCGTTTATATGCGTAGCCAATCGATATCAGCCTTGGCCTGTGCATCGCTCTACCTGCTCCACACCTGCCTCATGGTGGATTACAAGCTGACCACCGAAGAGAGGAACGACGAGGACATGCCCATGTCTCTGTTCGTCTTTGGGCGCTGGGTGCACACCAAGCTGGAGAGCTACGAGTGGTTCGAAGAGTTCGCCAGCTACGATAACATACGAATCTAGAATGAAGAAGTCTTGACTGGGAAAAAAACTATTTGGAAGAAGTCTGACTGCCTTCATGGTTAAAAGCCAAAAGAATTAAATTTTATGTATTCATTATTGCTTCTAAGTTTTTGTACTTGTAAGACTTGTTTTAAAATAATCGGAGAAGAGCTAAATTTCAAATAAACAATCCACATCTGAAGCTCAATTAACACAATCAACTTAAAGGTGGCGGTATCTAATAAATACAAACAATTCTTAAAATCAATAAGTGGCCGTCTCACTTTCGATTAATGTATACAATCAATATCCCAAGCTGGGAATATCTCGTTCATGTAAACAATGGGCAATAGAGTTAATATTTTTAACTTCTGAATTCAGTCTTAAGTAGAGATTAATCGAATAAAGAACACACAGCGACTCGATATAACAAGCAATAAATTTCCCTTAATTAATGACAAGATATTAAATAGTACCCAAACATCTATAATATATATTTTGGAGATTTTTGTGCTTTAAAACAAAGGTTGTTTAAAGTAATTTCCAAACATCAACAAAAAGTCTTATTCATAAAACATAGAATTATGACCTCAAGGGCATTAACATGATATAATTATATCTTGCTTACTTATCTATCTGGTCTACAGTTTTGGTCTCTTTCTTTTATGACTATATCTGTCACAAGCTGTTAATAAAAGCATAAAATATAAACTAGAGCAACAAAGCCAAACTCTGCCAAAGTATTCTCGCGTTGGTGGTGATTCCCCCAAGTGACCATTACCCATATGAGTTTCCAATTCTTGGCGGTGGTCAGTGATCTTGGTGAGCACGTTCTTTGCGATGACGCAGCTCTTTGACGGAGCACGTAGTCCCCCAAAGCGCTCTATTTCAGTTCCGGTGCTCTTGGCTTAATTAAATCGCTGCGTGGTGCTATCAATGCGCCCGCTTATCAGCGACGACAGCAAGCGGGCCAAAAATCATAATAATAGCAAAACACGCCGAATATTTATCTCGGCCCGAAGTCAACCTGCCAACTTCGATTGGCGGCAAGTGCTTTGCCAGTTGACGGTGGCACGTAGACCCAACCAGAAGTCGAAGTAGACATAAGAACCCATCCAAGATGCGCTCTACCAAGTGGCTGCTACCGCTGATGCTGCTCACCTACACCTGTTCCAGCTTCCAGGTGCTTGCCGAGGAAAGTCACTCCACCTCGGTGGCCGGAATGGTAAAGTTACTAGAGTTGGAGGCCCAACTAATTGATAATCTTCTGGAATATGCCGATGAGATGGAGAGCAAACTGAAGATAGTGCGAAGGTGGGTGAGATTTTTCCCTATCTTTTCAATGTTACCTTAATCTTCCCTTTTAGGAGCATAGCCAGCATGTTGCAGGAGAATTTCAAGGCTCGCAACTCCACGGAGGAGTATCTATCAAATCCCCTAAACTCATTTTCCCTCATCCGTCGAATGAATCGTGATTGGCAAGTGTGGCAACTATATTTGGAGGATCCAGTGGGTCTCAATCAAGTGGATAAGATTCAAGAGCTAAGGGAACACATGCCCACCAGTACAGATGTGGAGGAGGCAGTGACCGCCTTGGATCGTATTCAAAGCACCTATGGCTTGAAGATAGGTGACATAGTCAATGGGAACCTTAATGGCAAACAGTACAAGTAAGTTAATACTTCATTAATTAATAATTTCAAATAATAATCCATTCCTTCTTATATCTTTCAGTGTAAGTTTGACTGTGTTGGATACGTATGCCCTAGGACAGATACTTTTTGATCAAGGCAACTATGTAGCTGCTGCTGGCTGGCTCTATCAAGCAATTATTACAATGGAAAAGTATACTCTAGCTCCTCCCATGGATCTATCCAAGACCGAAGTGCGAATGATCTATGCCGAGACACTGCTGAGACTGAGTAAGTTTAATGAACTTGGCCGACACTTGAATGTCACTTGTAAAACGTTACAATCCCAACAGAACAGAACGCGGATGCTCTAAAAGTTATAAACATTGCACTGGCTGATAAGCCCAATGATATTAAACTGTTGCTAAAGAAATCGGAAATAGAAACGCTGATAAGGACGGGCTCCAATGTAGTGACGGCGAAATCAACGGTAGGTTGTCACTTCAGCTGGCTGACTGATAAGGTCACCAGTCATTCAGATAGGGCTAAATTTAACTGCAAGAGAAACTACACAGAAAATAATATTAATCTTTATTATAAACATTTCTTCATATTATTAAAAACCACATCAACAGACAGTGAAATCCAGCGGGCCAAATACCTTCCAAATAGGTTGCCGGGGACAATTTAAGCCATCTGTAGATGCCAGACTCCATTGTCGCTACAACAGCACCACCTCACCCTTCCTCATACTTGCTCCCCTCAAGATGGAACTGGTGGGTCTGGATCCTTACATGGTTCTCTATCACGATGTGCTCTCCCCCAAAGAGATTGAAGAGATGCAGGATATGGCTACACCAGGACTAAAGAGAGCCACTGTCTACCAGGCCTCATCGGGGCGCAATGAGGTGGTAAGGACCAGGACCTCCAAGGTGGCCTGGTTCCCAGACTCTTTTAGTTCGCTAACTCTTCGATTGAATGCCCGAATTGCCGATATGACTGGGTTCCAGCTCTACGGTTCCGAGATGCTGCAGTTAATGAATTATGGACTAGGCGGGCATTATGCCAATCACTACGATTTCTTTAATACAACTGTAAGGAATAACCTTAATTTTATTATTATTTAAAAATGAAGTTTTTTATTAACCTAGGATTCCAATAAGACTGCTATAAATGGCGATCGTATTGCCACGGTTCTTTTCTATGTGAGTTAAATTGTTGGATAGTAAAATTGTATAATTATTTCATTACAAAATCCTTTATATTTACTTTCCAGCTAACAGATGTAGAGCAGGGCGGTGCCACTGTTTTTCCAAACATACAAAAAGCTGTTTTTCCCCAACGAGGATCTGCCATTATATGGTACAATCTCAAGGACGATGGTGAGCCTGATAAACAAACCCTTCATGCCGCCTGCCCCGTTATAGTAGGTTCCAAATGGGGTAAGTAAAGAACTTATACATTATCTCTTTTATACCTAATCTATATAATATATTAAATAGTTTGTAATAAATGGATTCGTGAGCGGGAACAGCTCTTCAGACGACCTTGCCTGAAAAGGAAAATGAATGTGATTCTCAAGTAAACAAAGTTTGTACAAGTGATACCTAATAAACTCAATAGAAACAACCTTTATTCGATAAAACTGTCTATTAAAGTGTCGATAAGAATAATCAAAAGTCAATGTTAAGCATTACCAATCTTGATTTTTTCCAACAATTAATCAAAATTAGTTAAGGGAAATGCCTGCCACATTCCACAATAACAGATATCACTGCTCTGATTCCGAAGCTTTTGGCTGCATTTTTAGAATGGTTTTTCCAAAACTATGGGAATGAGTTATCAGTAATACTGTATATAGTAAGTATACATTGATTTTCTGTTAATCTCTAATTGAACAAGAAAGGAAGCTAACTTCGGCACGCCGAAATTTATATACCCTTGCAGATAGAACTTCTATGAATAGGAATCCATTCAATATAAATTATATATATTTGTGTTAAAAAACAATGAAACATTTCATTCACCTATACATATTATATTTGCAGTTTTACATTCACAGATTTGCATTTTTCCTCTACATCAAACGATCGTTTGTATGGCACCTATATGATATAGTCGTCCGATTTTTATGAAATTTGCCACAAAATTTAAGACTTATATAAAATGGCTATACCTCAAATTTGATGAAAATCAGCTGAAAACTAAAAAAGTTATAAATTTAATTGAATTAATTTCTCGATCGTTCCTATGGGAGCTATATGATATAGTCGTCCGATTTTCATAAAATTTTACACAAAATTCTAGAATAATATGAAACGGCTATATCTCAAATTTGATGAAAATCTGTTGAAAACTGAAAATGTTATACTTTTTAATTGAATTAATTTCTCGATCGTTCCTATGGGAGCTACATGATATAGTCGTCCGATCCGGCCCGTTCCGATATATATACGAGTGAGAGTATATAAAAGACTAACTGCAAAGTTTCATTCAGATAGCTTCAAAACTGAGAGACTAGTTTGCGTAGAAACGGACAGACGGACATGGCTAGATCGACTCGGCTGTTGATCCTGATCAAGAATATATATACTTTATATAGTCGGAGGTGCCTCCTTCACTGCGTTGCAAACTTCTGACTGAAATTATAATACCCTGCAAGGGTATAAAAAGAGAAGGCTATGAAAGTACAGGGTGTATAACATATTATCTAATTACACTTCAATATATATTTCAATGAAACATGACCCACAAATGGCAACTGGTACTAGGGATTTTTCCAGTTTTACTTTTTTTCCCTCTGGCAGCTAAGAAAGATAGCCATCCCTCCTTGTCACTGGTGACAATGGTGCCGCTCCTTGAGCTTGAGAAGAAACTCATTGATAATCTTGATGACTATGTCAAAGCCTTGGATCATAAGCTGCAGCTTCTACGCAGGTTGTTATTACTGTTCAGGATTATGCAAAACTTCCTAAAATGTATATTCCTTATTAGTCACATCCTGGACATTCGTGCGGAAAACGAAAAGGCTGAACTAGACCCTATACAGTATCTATCCAATCCTTTAAATAGCTTTTCCCTCATCCGAAGACTGCATCAGGATTGGGTTGGTTGGAGAAAGTTCATGGAGCAATCAGTTGGCATTGTCCAGATGCGAAAAATGAACTCTTGGCAAAGGGAACTACCCACAAAAGAGGATCTCTCCGAAGCATGTGATGGAATTATTCGCATACAGATCACCTACAATCTTAGAGTCGATGACATTATCAGGGGTAAACTCAAGGGAAGGCAGTACAAGTAAGTGGCAGTCATTTGTTTTTTAAGATTTTACTAGAAACTATTTCTGACAGTGTGAGCATGAGTCCGTCGGATATCTTTGCGGTGGGAAATCACCTTCGTCACACATCTATTTTCCTTGCGGCCTTTCTGTGGCTCAGGGAAATACGTCCGCCATCACAGGAGAATAGTGTATCACAACCGGATCACATTATTAGTACGGAGAAGAAAGTGATAAAGGTGCTTACTGACATGCACGTGAAGGAAGGTTGATTGACTTGATTACAATTCATGGCTTTCCTCGAAAATCTTACTATTTTTAAGCCTAGGTTATTTTTCCATGGCTCTGCGCTTTATAAATTATTGGCTGCAGCTTTTCCCCTACAATGCTTATCCTGAGCGTGCTAGACGGGCTCTGAAGAAGCTTATGAAGACTAAATCAGAAACACCTTATGGAAGACCCTTGGACCTGGCGAGGGATCTCGATACAAAGCAGCTCAGGTGGTCTTGCAGCAAAATCCTAAAGAGTCGACCCTCTAGCCATCTCCAGTGTTCCTACAATTCGAGCACCACGCCATTTCTTCGCTTGGCTCCGCTTAAAATGGAACAAATTGGATTGGATCCATATGTGGTGCTCTACCACGATGTATTGTCTCCCGGGGAGATATCTCAGCTACAGAAAATGGAATTTGGTCCGTTAAAGACTGCCGTAGTGGGTGGTACAGACAATAGGATGCGTCGACTACGAAGCGGTAAGACCTTCTCGATAAGCTGTGAATTCAATAGATTGACTAAAAGGATCAAGCGGCGAATTGAGGACATCAGTGGACTGGATTTGTCGGGCTCGGAGAATTTGCAAGTAAATAAATTTTACAATACTAGCAAAAATACACCTTTGCTATATAAAAAAAAAATTCACAAAAAAATCATTAATAGGTGTTGAACTATGGAATCGGTGGACACTTTGACATGCATACCGATTTCCGTAATATTTCTTCTAGTTCTGGAGTACGTCAACCGCCAGACCGTATTGCCACAGTTTTGTTTTATGTGAGTGGTATTAGATTTGTGTTTTTATTGAGTTCCAATCTTGTACTCTCTCCCAGCTTTCTGATGTGGAGCAGGGCGGGGAAACAGTTTTCCCCCACGCCGGATACTCCGTTAAGCCAAGAGCTGGAACTGCCCTCTTTTGGTATAATCTGCACACGGATGGCATCGGGGATCTCTCCACAATTCATGCCGCCTGTCCGGTGATTCTGGGATCCAAATGGAGTAAGATTTCTACTAATACATCGGTTAAATTTATCTAAATTCGTCCGTTTCTGACAGTAATGACACAGTGGATATCCGAGGAACCGCAGTGGTTTAAAAGGCCCTGCCTAAGACCATCGCCAAGTCAATTATCGAAACAAAGGAAAAGGAATTGATATTCATTAGTAAATATGTAAATTAATACAAATTAAGAGTGTCACGAAATACAGAATAAGATTCAAAGCAGGCCAGCATTTTTATTTTTAACTAATCAGACTTGTAAATTAACTCACAATGAATCTCAAATGGATCCTGTTTCCAGGATTCTTTCTAATCCTGCTGCGTTTTCTTACTGTGATTCAGTGCAAAAAGCAGGATAAGAGCCACTCTTTTTCCGTGGTGACAATGGTGCCACTTTTGAAGCTGGAGAAGAAACTAATTGAAAATCTTGAGGACTATGCCAAAGCCATGGATCAGAAGGTGCAGATCATTCGCAGGTAGCTTGAGAGTCTAAAAGGAAAGTTCTCTTTTTAATATTCCCATTCCAGTCACATTCTAACAATGCGATTAGAGAACAATAAGGCACAAATGGATGCTATATCGTATCTATCCAACCCTCTGAATGGCTTCTCTCTCATTCGGAGACTTCAGGAGGATTGGGTTGGTTGGCGTCAGTACATGAATCAGACGGTGGGTGCTACCCAAATGCGAAACTTGGATACCTGGTCGAGGGAGTTTCCCATGAAAGAGGATCTGCAGGATGCCTGTGAGGGAATATTTCGCATTCAAAGACACTATGATCTTAAAGTTAATGATATAGTTGGTGGTAAGCTTCAAGGCAGACAGCACAAGTGAGTAAGAGTTCAGTTTGTATGATTTTTAGTATATAAATATTTTTTATAGTGTCAGCATGAGTTCCTCTGATATTTTAGCTATGGGTCAATATCTCTTAGAGACTTCTAGACCCGCAGCAGCTGTTCAGTGGCTGAAAGAAGTGTCTATTAACTCGGAGGAGGATCTTCTACCCGAGGAGATTTCTGTTAGGAAAGCAGGGTGGCTTCAGCTTCTTGTCCGGGCCCACAAGCAGAATCGTAAATCGATTTAGATTTTCGTGATACATATAATAGACTTCTGATTTCCAGAAAGCTACTCGGATGCTCTGGACTTGCTGGATAATTACCTGGAAATCAGACCCCATGATGCTATCCTACTGCGACAACGTCGTGAAATCGAAGGACTCAAATTGATTTCTACATCGAAGGAAACACCAGCAACTGTATTTCTGAGGGAAATGGCAACTGCTTGCAATGTAACACCCAAGAACACCTCTAGACTCTACTGTTTCTACAACTCTAGAACCACACCATTTCTCCGCCTCGCCCCGCTTAAGGTGGAGCAAGTGGGATTGTATCCATATGTGCTGCTCTACCATCAAGTGCTCAGTACTCACGAAATTTCTTCAATAATTAAAATAGCCACAAAGAAAATGAAAAGAACTGGAACAGTCAATCCCAATTCCACCACCTCTCAGACACATTACCGAACTGCCATGTCCCATTGGATGGCTAAGATGACCTCTAAACTGGGCCAACGAATTAATAGACGGATTCGCGACATGAGTGGCTTTGATCTGAAGGATTCTGAGTCGTTTCAGGTGAGCTATCGGGAAGTTTTACAGAAAAATATCTTTACAGCATGCTGCTTTTGCAGATAATCAACTATGGAATTGGTGGACACTATGGTCCACATTATGATTACTTCAACTTATCAAGTGACCATTCCAAGAGGAGAGGAGAGGCTAAGATTTTAGGGGATCGCATTGCCACAGTGCTTTTTTATGTGAGTATAATATACTTTTTAGTAATTGGAAAATTGAGAGGTGTAAAATATATATACTTTCTACAGCTCTCCGACGTGGAGCAGGGTGGAGCTACAGCCTTTACTAAGGCGGGTTATGTTGTCTATCCCCGAGCTGGAACCGCTCTCTTCTGGCACAATCTGGACACGGAGGGTAATGGGGATTTGTTGACAAGGCACACTGCCTGCACGGTGATTTCGGGCTCCAAGTGGGGTAAGTGCCGAGTCAATGATTAACCCCAAACGATGACTGTTTGTTACTCCCAAAATTGGTGGCAGTGATGACCGAGTGGATAAAGGAAAGGAGGCAGATATTTATCAGACCCTGTTTGCCACGCGAAAAGGCAGCCACTCCACCTCGCCTGGGCTGAGGGCCAAAACGAGATCATAGACAAACAAATTTCCGGCATAATCACTCTGCACACTTAACAGGAAACCCAACCAGTTCAGCTTAAATGCTTTTTAAAATGCCAACACGGAAAGAATAAAGTGCTGAGTGGTTGATAGTCTGCCCCCGCTCATTTGGGAGGGGGGGGTTAAAGGACCATGGACTCTGCTCCAGGACCAAGGTAAAAACCAAAGGCCACCGCAGCCGCATTTTAGCATACTCCTCTAGACAGACCCACTCTCGGAATACCGTCTCCTGGTGGCGTCTAGTGTCTGACACCGCGTACGTGATGTGCAACTTAATGTTTCAATTAGAGGTAAAGTGGCGCTTGAGAAGGGGCCATCGTTATCGTTTCCCTACACGGTGAGAAATTATTAATTAAACTGCAAAGAGCCGTAACAAAGATATTTTTAATAATAAGATGGGTGACGCTACACGATCTCTGGCGCTTGGATTAATCGTATTCCTTTCGCATCTTGTTATCATAAGTTCTTTAAAAACTGAGCTTTTTAATTTTGACCTTATAAATACAATTTAACATTATGGATCTCTTTAGTTGTCATTGCACCTAAAAATAAACCTCTTTCTTCATTTATTTAACCTATATCTATACTTTCTATTGTTATATTTTGTGTTCAGTGTTGTTCCTCTTCTCAATGTGTTTGTGATGCTGTGTTTGCCAAACTGGGGATACGAGTATCTCTATCAGTCTGTGCACTTATCTGCTTTTAAAAACTTTTAATAATGAACTCTCGCTCACCGCCAAGCGACGTGTTGGTGTCAGACCTTTGGACCTCGTTTTTTTGACCCAGCTGACTTGGCAATTTTGATGCCGGAAAAACGAGGCTTTTCCCCTACCAAAATACACCTCTTGTTGGTGTTATTTGCATGTTAGTTAAGTCACTCTATATACATTTTAGATAGATAGATCTTAGTTAAAACTATAAAAATAAGAAACAAGCTTACCTCAAAATACACCTCTTGTTGGTGTTATTTGCATGTTAGTTGAGTCACTCTATATACATTTTAGATAGATAGATCTTAGTTAAAACTATAAAAATAAGAAACAAGCTTACCTCAAAATCAATCTCAATCTTAAAAAAGAAAAAGGTTAACCAAAAAGGTTAGCAAATCTCCTGCCTGACCGCCCAACACCTTTTAATAAAGCGAAATGCCAATAAGTAAAAAATTGCCGACATATGCGAAAAGGTCCTGTCCTGCCTCCATATAGACCTAAGATTCGGTCACAAGGAATACCCAACATCCTTCGCCTTATTATCCTGTCCAAAAATATGACTAAAGCGTAGCAAGGACAGTCGTCTATAGCCATGACCCCGAAGGAGTTGTACCTAAAAACGAATTTCGATTTGATTGTGTGCACTTTACGGCGTGTCCTGGCCTCCTCACAGAGATGATTACATATGCGCAGACCAATAATTTTGCCACACAAACGAAGGGTGGGAGTATCTAACAAGGTTAAGAAATGTTCCGAGAGGCAGAGAAGAACGTAGAGCATTGATTGTATAAATCTAGTAAAATGTTTTATATGCGCATCGAAGATGAATGTGGAGGGGATGCGGCAAAGGGTTGGTCGCCCACATTTTGTGGTCAATGAAGGAAATATGATTTGGATTTTGTTACTTTGATTACACACATTACATGCGAAAAATGAAAAAGTAGCAGACCAGCCCAGCCCAGTCCAGACAGGCCAAAGGGGTCAGCCATCCAGGGTTCGTATGTTGTGTGTGTTGTGTGTGTATAGCAACGTGTGTTAAATTTCAAGTTGCGGTCTTGCCATCGTAAAGCATTTGATGGGCCCCGAGTCTACGCGCAGGAAATTGAGTTTTTCGAGCAGCTGCCACAGCCAAAAAAATATATATATAAGAGATGGGGAAAAAAGTTAGAGAAAGGAATTCATGTCTCTGCCTCACTCAGGGTCAGCTCGGTTAAATCGATAAATTTCGAGCTTCGAGCCAAGAGCTACAAGCTAATTTAAATTTAAATCTAGATATGTCACCGATCAATCGATGGACCTGCCTTTCAACACCTTCACCGGCAAGGTGAGACATCTATTTATACCTGGGCAAGTCACAGAAGGCAGAGCAGAACCATTGCACCCCACATTTCACTGAGGGAAGAGGATATTAATTTACAATTGAATTGCTTTTGTTGTTTTTAAAATATATATTTATGTAATTATATTTTTATTATTTCAGTCAGAAGCTTAAAAGACAATGAAGGAATCATTTCCGACGCTATAAATCATATATATTCATGATCAGGATAAACAGCTGATCTACTCATGTCTGGAGGAAAATACATTTTTTCGAAATTTTTCTAAATTTTATCACGGGTTACATCATTAAAATTGTAAAAAAAAATGACAAAATTTTCAAATATTTTTAAATTTAAAATTAAGTATGCAGAGTTATTAGTCTAATAAAACCAAACAAAGGAACGCTTTCTGAATTGAAATTAATGGATTTTTGACTGAGCTATGATGGTTTTTCTCTGTAAGGGTATAGAAATTTCGGTTTCCCAAAGTTAACTTCCTTTCTAGTTTTCAAACATTTGAAGTAACTAAGGATTTTGTTAGGGATCAATCTTAAATTTATCCGTTAATAGGTTGAAGCTTATTTAAATACTTAATAAAGATTCCCGATAGTATTTGAGAACTACAAATAAAATATCCTAGTTAATTTTTATATGGTACTTTCGAGGCAGAAAACATTAAAATAACTAAAGATCTACAATTAACCTTTAAGACCAAACAAGAGTATATATGTTTCAAAGCCCAAGGAATATATATTTTACTATTGTGCATGACTTTTAAAGTACATATAAATCACAAACAATTTTGTAGTTTTTTTTTCCTCCCTGGCTTTTCTTGCCTATAGTTTTTTCTCGCCATGCAAATGGATCGCCCGATCGAAGGTGTTGACAGGTGCCAAGGCATTGAGTACCCCAAGTTTGCTACATCGATCGATTTGTTGTTGGACTCACTCAGCAGCATCGATTTGCAATGGGCATAAATTGATTAAATGCCAATGGATGGGCCGGCGACTGACAATCAATTACGGCAGGACGAATTTGACAGGAATATTTGAAGGAGTGGAGTGGAGTGGAGTACAGTGGAGGAGTGATTGCATAATCTGGACAGTTGCATGCAAATCGAAATCATCCCGGGACAGTCAGTTAGCCAGTGGAAATCAATGCCAAAGTTGATTTACGTGTGCGGACGCCAATTGTCCTCCGCTGGAGCGAAACAATTGCAAGTCCCCGAAGCCCCCTCCTCTTGCCACACAATCTGTCGGCCAATCCAGCTTTGGCCATATCGAAATGATTTTGGGCCTTCTGCCCCCCTGAAACATGGAAGAGCCAATGACAAATGCAGCTAAACGAATTATGTCTAATGGCATTTCAGGTTGAAATGCGATTAAAATGCAATTTGAAATGCAAAACATTTCCCCTTCTCGCCACCAATCCCTACTCTCGTGCTGCCTGCCTGTGGCCTGCCGGCACTTTAAGAGTTTTCCCTGTCTGCAAAATGAAAACTGCCTGGCTGTCAGCCAAAAGTTTCTATTCTGTTCTATGTTCTATGTTCTGCTGTGTTCTGTTCTGTTGTGTTCTGTGTTGCGGTCATGTCTGGGATGCACTTGCTCTTACGCCGGCTGGCACCTGGCTGACCATTAAGGGGCTGCGATAGATTGACTTCAAATGTCTTATAAAATCTTAAATCGCGCGGTCGAAAATTTATGTGGCCCCGTTGGACATTTAAAACTCCATTGCGCCAAAGAACAATGTGGCCAGAAAGGCAAGACGTTGGTAGGAAAAATGCAAGCATTTTTCGTTTGCCAAGAAATTTTCCTAAAGCTAAAGGTACCTTTTGTTACCTCAGACTGTCGCAGTACTCTACATGGAACGAAATTTTATATTAAGAAGAATATTATATGGCAAATTACTTAATTTCTTTTTTATAAAATATAAATTTGATCTTGTATAATACTAAAAACTACATGAAAATGGTGACAGTAATTTAGATCATAGTAATATGTTGGTAAACTAACTATTCCAGTATTTTACCATATTAATATTTATTTTAGGGTATTCGCTTAGTTTTTTAAATATAAATATTACGAACTTAACATTTAATTTTTTGTTGTGCACATTTTCCTTACACCTCACTATACCTCACTATTCCTGCCTTCCTGCCGACGACAACGAAGCATAATTTATGCGTTGGCATTGGCCGGAGTCTGAGACTGGGACAGGGGTATGGGTATGGTTCTAGGTCTGGGAATAGGAGTGCAAATGGGAATGGGAATGGGTTATATGGAGCTGGTGTTGGATGCAAAAACCTGGCCATTGGACACATTGCTAGACAAGGGAACATGACAGCGGCTATGTCGGCGACGTCTGCTTCGTTCCCTGCCTTTGTTCCTCGGTGGAATTTCACGTGGAAAAAGTCGCAGCCAGCAAACGTAAAAATTATTTTAATTAAAGCAGCAGCAATAAAATGGGAATAGATATTAAAGAAAGTCGAAGAATGAGTGCTCTATTCCAAAGATTGGTTTCAGATATTTAATTGTAAATGCTACTAAATAAATACAATTAAAAATCTACACAAGAAAGAAGATGTACATATATTGTAAAGCTTCAAGATTTGTTAGTTGCTCACTCCAAAAAATTCTATAAAATCGGCTCATAAAATTAGTAGTGTAATGTGGTTCATCTTTCATTAATTCAAAGGACTTCCTTAGAAAGGGTATCAACTGCAAAGAGTTAAGCACATCGGACAATGGACGAGGTGTGTGTGCCAGGAATAAAATAAAAAGCAAAAAGGAGGCGTGATCGGGGGGCGGCTATGTCCCTGCTCGATTTGCGCTCTGCATTTGTCATGATCTGTTTGTTTTGATGTATGGCCATGTGATTAATTTAGCCAGATCGCAGAGTTTGTCGCTCCATGTCGCAGGGCCGTGATTTATTTCGCTCGATTTGCACTTTGTTAGCGAACGAATCTCTCCTCCTGGCTTGGGCATATTTAAATTCATTTAACCAACTGCAGAAAAGCCCAAGTAAATGCGAACATAATGGCACACGTTTCTGTTGCTTCTGTTT